TCTGCGAATACGGAGTGTCTTTGCCGTATGGCGTACGAGCCAGTGTGGCTCTTGTGTCGCGGCACGCGACAGTGTTGGCTAATTCGGGTTGTTCGTAGCTACGATTGGGTGCTGCCGTGAAGCGGTTGGTCTGTAGGCCTTGGTGATCCGCTTCGTGGTAGTGTGCCCTCTCCCGGCCCTACCCTTTCACGAAGACGTTCTTTCCTTGCGTGCAGGTACTTGTTTGTAACGTAGTCTTCGCATGAAAACTGCTTGCCGATAGCGTGACGTGACGCGCAATCTGTGGTGGTGTAAGGGGACTTCAACAAGTATGAATGTAAATGCCTGGCTGATCATAATCACTCGCCTGGCTGATTCCTTGTGGCTTGTGGCTTTTGGGTGGTGGGTGCTATCCTTACGCAGCCTTGGCTTGAACGAAAGCACATGTACGAGAGGGATGCAGCACAATGATTCTGATGGCAACGTTTCGCTGGCTGCTGGTGCAGCAGCCGCTAGCATGGCCACGACAACAATGAACTGGGGGCTGGTCCAGGCATGTGCAGCGGCGGCAGCACTGGTGGCAATAAAATTCACCCCTGTTAGGCCCGGATGTCGGCACCCACTTGCATCTCACTGGCCACTAGTCGGTCGCTTCACGTTGCACCTGGCAGCAGTCTTGGATATTGGCACGTCAATGCGGTTGTGATTGGCTGCTTGCTGCGTGCATGTATTTGGTTATGTACGTGTCCTGTTAGGCTCTGGTTTAGGTGGAGGCAACCGTTCCCCTGTCGGCTACATGTGCTACATATTTGTAGTGTTCGTCGCGCTGTGTCTCTCAGAAAATGCAGATCCTGCATGCACGAGTGCCATCCATGGTCACAGCCAACAACCAAAACCTCACCGATCTACTCAACCGATGCTAGTCGTTGAATAGCTGCTTTTTGCGGTGATAGCTAGTGTTTCTAGGGTTTTTAGGGTCCTTGAAACCCTAAACGCCTAGAAAAGGCTACACACGGCTGACTGCAGCATTTCGTGTATTACGAGTACGTGTCCAACGGCAGGGACCAGCAACAGGCACAAGCAAGGGATATGTCCCGCGCAAGAGCGATGTGCTGCTCATGTCGAGTTTTGATCTCGAGACCTCCCGCTTACTAAACGGGTGCTCTTCCACTGAGCTACACGAGCGGTTGTGGGTGGAGGGTGTCGAAGCCTCGATCTCGCGGGTCGGGGCCCGGAGAGGCCGGGGGCAGCAGCCCCGTGGTGTTTGGGAGCCGACACGAGTGTTAACTCGCGGGTCGGGGCCCGGAGAGGCCGGGGGCAGCAGCCCCGTGGTGTTTGGGAGCCGACACGAGTGTTAACTCGCGGGTCGGGGCCCGGAGAGGCCGGGGGCAGCGGCCCCATAGCGTGGAAGCGTGTTGTTGACGTTCCTTGTGGCTGTAGCCTTGTGCGGGGTTGGGTGGCTAAGGGCACGGCCGCCCCCTCCGCGATTATTGAAGTTTCGTGGTAGTGTGCCCTCTCCCGGCCCTACCCTTTCACGAAGACGTTCTTTCCTTGCGTGCAGGTACTTGTTTGTAACGTAGTCTTCGCATGAAAACTGACAGTTTTCTACGTGAAGCGTTGAAAACTAAGGTTTTCTGCGAATACGGAGTGTCTTTGCCGTATGGCGTACGAGCCAGTGTGGCTCTTGTGTCGCGGCACGCGACAGTGTTGGCTAATTCGGGTTGTTCGTAGCTACGATTGGGTGCTGCCGTGAAGCGGTTGGTCTGTAGGCCTTGGTGATCCGCTTCGTGGTAGTGTGCCCTCTCCCGGCCCTACCCTTTCACGAAGACGTTCTTTCCTTGCGTGCAGGTACTTGTTTGTAACGTAGTCTTCGCATGAAAACTGCTTGCCGATAGCGTGACGTGACGCGCAATCTGTGGTGGTGTAAGGGGACTTCAACAAGTATGAATGTAAATGCCTGGCTGATCATAATCACTCGCCTGGCTGATTCCTTGTGGCTTGTGGCTTTTGGGTGGTGGGTGCTATCCTTACGCAGCCTTGGCTTGAACGAAAGCACATGTACGAGAGGGATGCAGCACAATGATTCTGATGGCAACGTTTCGCTGGCTGCTGGTGCAGCAGCCGCTAGCATGGCCACGACAACAATGAACTGGGGGCTGGTCCAGGCATGTGCAGCGGCGGCAGCACTGGTGGCAATAAAATTCACCCCTGTTAGGCCCGGATGTCGGCACCCACTTGCATCTCACTGGCCACTAGTCGGTCGCTTCACGTTGCACCTGGCAGCAGTCTTGGATATTGGCACGTCAATGCGGTTGTGATTGGCTGCTTGCTGCGTGCATGTATTTGGTTATGTACGTGTCCTGTTAGGCTCTGGTTTAGGTGGAGGCAACCGTTCCCCTGTCGGCTACATGTGCTACATATTTGTAGTGTTCGTCGCGCTGTGTCTCTCAGAAAATGCAGATCCTGCATGCACGAGTGCCATCCATGGTCACAGCCAACAACCAAAACCTCACCGATCTACTCAACCGATGCTAGTCGTTGAATAGCTGCTTTTTGCGGTGATAGCTAGTGTTTCTAGGGTTTTTAGGGTCCTTGAAACCCTAAACGCCTAGAAAAGGCTACACACGGCTGACTGCAGCATTTCGTGTATTACGAGTACGTGTCCAACGGCAGGGACCAGCAACAGGCACAAGCAAGGGATATGTCCCGCGCAAGAGCGATGTGCTGCTCATGTCGAGTTTTGATCTCGAGACCTCCCGCTTACTAAACGGGTGCTCTTCCACTGAGCTACACGAGCGGTTGTGGGTGGAGGGTGTTGAACCCTCGACCTCAGAATAGTCCAAGTCACAGCACGATAACAGCTATGATACCTACACGCTAACCACTGCGCCACACCCACACAGACATGCAGCTACGCGCGTGCCGAGAATTTGCCGTACACCGTACACCGTACACGTACAAATCGTACAGGACGTGCGTACACACGCACCCCCGACGATTGGGCCAAATACGTATACACCACATCTACAGCCAACGCATGCCCGCCTCATTAGCTCTTTATTTTTCCCGGGCATGTGGCCAGGAAGTGTATATCTGTGTGACCATACATATCTGTGTGACCATGCATATCTGTGTGACCATACATACCTGCTTGCCGATAGCGCAACGTGACGCGCAATCTGTGGTGGTGTAAGGGGACTTCAACAAGTATGAATGTAAATGCCTGGCTGATCATAATCACTCGCCTGGCTGATTCCTTGTGGCTTGTGGCTTTTGGGTGGTGGGTGCTATCCTTACGCAGCCTTGGCTTGAACGAAAGCACATGTACGAGAGGGATGCAGCACAATGATTCTGATGGCAACGTTTCGCTGGCTGCTGGTGCAGCAGCCGCTAGCATGGCCACGACAACAATGAACTGGGGGCTGGTCCAGGCATGTGCAGCGGCGGCAGCACTGGTGGCAATAAAATTCACCCCTGTTAGGCCCGGATGTCGGCACCCACTTGCATCTCACTGGCCACTAGTCGGTCGCTTCACGTTGCACCTGGCAGCAGTCTTGGATATTGGCACGTCAATGCGGTTGTGATTGGCTGCTTGCTGCGTGCATGTATTTGGTTATGTACGTGT